CCCGCCTCCTCTCACATCACTGGCCAGCGATCTAAGAGCAGGTGGGGCCAGTGATGTAAGAAGAGGTGGGGCCCGTCGATAGGAGGCGGAGAGGAGGCAGGGGCCCGGCTGTAGCGACCACAGAGGTGGACAATCCTGACAGGTAGAAGGCGTGCAGCCCAACTGAGACCTTTCAGAGCCCACCATAGAGAGTCTATGGTGGGCTCTGCAAGTGGCATAACTAGCAATCACGGGGCTCCATACAAAATTTTGCTATGGGGCCCCGTGATTTCTAGTTACGCCCCTGGTTGTAACACAAAGAGCTTGAACAAAGTGGGCCTCAGACTGCCGGTCTTGGGGACGGTTATAGTGTAGTTTTTTTTTGCAGCTCCAAATGGCAGATACTCCCTGCTGACAACTAGAGCTGCACTGCCCAGCCACAGAACAATATTTGTGCCTATTTCAGAACATGCAATCTACCTTGTCCCTTTCTATTTACTGCCTAAGTGTTCGCATATTGTCCTGACGCTGGTCAATTTCTACCAAACACAGACCCGAAGTCTATCATTTGAATATTTTGGGAATAATAGGGAATACAGAGTTGGGTGGGATTCGGGGAATGTAGGGTTGTGGTTCTCAAGTGTTTTTGTGCACTCTGTTTTGACGTTTAATTGAGATTTCAATAAATGGTTCTGCAAAAATGGTTTGAATTGTTGAGGCACTGGCCAGTTTGTACGAAGTTGGGGGCTTTAGCTTTATTCTTTTTAACAATAAATCAATTTGGGCCTATTATCACTTGATATAAAAAACGGGAGTTGCATGTTGAAATAAATGCTGCTGTCGTATGTAAGCCAAGCTAAATGTAAAAGGTAAAAAAAACAATTACACATCCAAAATATGTGATGCCAGTAGTGTTGCTGATGTTGTCCAGGAAGATCTTTCTGTTCTTCTTCAAAAGAGCTTGTACAGCACATCTTGTAACCCCAGTCTGCTTTGAAATCCTTACTTGGGAGAGACCTTGCTGATGCAGTATAACTACCTTGTGTCTTGTTGCTGTGCTCAGTCTTGCCATGGTGTATGACCTACACCTCACTCTAATCCTCCAAAATCCCTGACCCCATGCAAGTGTAAGAATTAATGCTGGTTTGAAGCCAAAGGGTAGTCACACAAAATATTGATTTCATCATTTTTCTTCTGTTCACTTACTTTGCATTTTGTAAATTGATAAAAATAAACAATTAAAATATATATATATATATATATTAGAAAGCATTCTTACTTTATTTACAGCATGTTTTTCTGCCTAAAACATTTGCACAGTACTATATATATATACATCAGCCATAACATTATGACTACTGAGAGGTGAATGAATAACATTGATTATCTTAATAGTACAATGGCACCTGGAAATAGTTTGGACATATTAAGCAGCAAGTGAACATTTTGTCCTTGAAGTTGATATGTCGGAAGCAAAAAAAAAAAAATGGCCAAGCATAAAGATCTAAGTGACTTTGACAAAGGCCAAATTGTGATGAGTAGACGAATGGGTCGGAGCAACTCCAAAACTGCTCTTGTGGATGTTCCCAGTCTGCAGCAGTCAAGACCTACCAAAAGCGGTCCAAGTAAGGAAAACCGGTGAACTGGTGACAGGGGCCAAGGCTCATTAATGCATGTGGGGAGTAAAGGCATAGATTAGAGTTAGAACCGCACTACACAGAGAAGCCTTGACGAGGTTGTGTGGCTTCTGCATATTTTGCAAAAGCTGTGCAACTAAAACCTAATAGCTAGACAGTGTTTGTTTTTTTTTTGCAGGTTAGCTTAGTAAATTTTTGATTTTGTAATGAACACACAGTGCATCACAGTTGTGTATGGGGCTGCGTAGCCGTAGACCAGTCTGTGTGCCCATGCTGACCCGTGTCCACCGCCAAAAGCACCAACAATGGGCACTAGAGCATCAGGACTGGACCACGGAGCAATGTAAGAATGTGGCATGGTCACTGGGTTCACTTGCCGAGGCTGCGTGGCTTCCAGACCAATCAGGAAGCCGGGAGGCGAGTCATGATATGCTGCCCGACTTCCTGGTTGGTTAGAAAGCCAGGCTGCCTACCAACAGGTGAAGCTGGTTTCCTAGCCAATCAGGAAGCTGGGCGGCACATCATGACCTGCCTCCCGGTTTACTGATTAGCTAGGAGGCCAGCTTTACCTGTCCCTAGGGAGCCTGGCTTCCTGACCAATCAGGAAGCCGGGGAGGTGGGTCATTACATCCTGCCCGGCTTCCTGATTGGCTAGCACCAAGTGAAGCCAGCTTCCTGATTGGAAAGCAAGCTGGCTCCATGCTCCCTCAGCACTGCCGGTCAGAGGGACATCTCCCTCTGACCGGAAGTTCCAGTATCGGCGCATACTCACCCAAATACTCGGTATCGGTGCATCCCTAATTTATTTATTTTGCAGTTGTGCAATGTGAAAGGGAATGTAATAAACATTCTCTCGATATATGTTGAACTTAATGGACTTGTGTCTTTTTTAACCTATGTAAATATAAAGTAAGTGTTATCCCAATTTGGCTGCAAAAGTAGAAATATACTTTAATGTTGTACTATCCGTCTCCATGGGTAGCCTCTACCTTACAGTCACCATACTTCACTCCAAGTCGATTTGAGTTAAGTGGCAAGGTCTATTGATGAGTCTCTAAAAGGGATTTTTCTCTTATACCTACAGGATAAAAAATTTGCAGTTTCTGTTGTTGTTTTTAAAGTGTTATATTTATAGCTCACAATTGCGTGGTTTTTATCATTGTACTGGGGTACATATTTAACAAAAAATTAAACAATAGCACTCAATCTAAAAAATACACCACACTTTTTGGATTAGTGCAGTAATAGAAAACTGCCTGACTACAGCTGGTGACTGTTTCCAGACGGCAATAAAGCCGATAATTCACTCAAGTTTGACAAAAATATGAGGGACCTCATAAGTCATCAGTGAAGAGGTTCCCAAACTTTAGAGTGACATGGCAATTTGCAGTACAGGCTACAGGTAAGTCACAAGAGATACAATGAGACTTTCTGGCACCTGTTTGGACTTCAACAGAAGCACACTTTAAAAATGACCATCACCCACTAATTTAAAGGGTGAGAAAATGAACTTATCCACACAAATCTATCTCTCCTAACCCCCACAGGTCATACCTTTGAGTGGAACTGCCTTCTTCCCCCGCATCAGCCCGTGTATGGTCGGTACACTGCCCTGCACTGAACATCTAGCATAATGCTTGTAAATGGTGAACACTCATTGGTCAGCACAGTCACCTGACCTCGCTAACCAATGGGAAAGCTCTTCTTAGCATGGTCACCAGACAACTGAGAAGTGCTTCTTAGCAAGGTCAGGTGACCGTGCTGACCAATAAATGCTCGCCCTTTCAGAGTGTTATGCTAGATTACTCAGTGCAGGGCTGCAGTGCGTTGCACAGACCATACATTGGCTGGCATGTCTTGACGGTAAATAATTCTACAATATTAGAAATCACATGTTTACAGCCCCAGTACATGGAAAAGTCACACGAGGTCCAGACCAATGGCACAGAAATACCTGGAGGCCCAAATAAAAAAAAATTGAGCATCACTGACCTAAATTAAATCATTAAAATTGATGTTCTTTTGAACTCCAGTAAAACATAGTACATACACAGAATGCAACATTCATTTTAATGAAGACATTTAAATGTAACATTTACATAGATGGCTTAGATGGATTATTTAATGTCTGAAAAGCATTTATCCCATTGGATACCATGTGCACAGATGTAATATACATTTTCAAATGGTAAACAACGTTTTGATTCGATCACTTAAGCAAATCAACCCTGAAAAATTACAAAATAAATATCTGAATGCTATCAAATGATCGGTTCAACTCAAACTCTGTATTGGATAGGCTAGGGCACACCTGCTAGCTTATAAGGTGGTATGATCCCTCCAAGGTTCATCAACCCGGAAGGTGTATAAGCCTCACTGATGTCCACACTCAGAACTGAATATTCAAACTCAAGTTGGATTTAGGTTATTCTAGACACTGTTATTAAAGAGAGGTGAGGTACAAATATAATACTATACAAGAATGTCCAATATTATAAAATACTGACTGAAAGACATAACGCAGATCAACATTATAGTACAAGTAGCTTGCATATTAAGATGATAGAATTTTTATTGAAAGGTCTCTTCGATACAAATTCTACCAGAAGGAGAAAGCTCTTCCCACCCATACAGACAAAGCAGACCAAAAAATAAATTAGGCACATATTCTCAACGCAAAACAAGAGCCTCGACATTAACATTTACATATTTTTTTTTTTTTAACAAAGAGCTGCAAATCACATGAATATAGAGAAAACAGATGTATTAATGCAGAGATGCAAGATCCCATTTTCATCTTGTAGAGAGATATGCATTTAAGTGTATCAAAAAGTTAAGAAAATTTGGTTTTATATTGGCTCATTTCCCCCCAAATCGTCTTAAGCCTATATTACAAGAACTGAAAAGTAACTAATTCAATCAAGGAATAAGAGTTATCTAGAAAAAAAATGTACTTATCTGATAAAAAAAGTTCAAGGAAAAAAAAAAAAAAAAGTAAAAAAAGGAACATGTGAATTGTGTTGTTAACCAGTAATGTACTGTTACCCAAAAAAAAAAAAAAACCAGAAGAAAAACAAAAAAACTTTGTCTTTGGCCTATTTTAGCTGTTTCTTTAACGTAAACCTTACTTTTAAATAGTTTTCACAAGAATGTTTTTTTTTTTAAATTAAAAAAAAGAAAAGAAAAAAAAAATGTACTAAAAGGCTACATAAATTATTAAATCACAATACTGCATCTGAATTTTAAATGACCAAGCAAAAACAAAAAGGGTAAACGGTTACAAAACTAATTACAGAATGGTTTAGTGTGAATTTCAATTCCTTTAAAACAAAACAAAAAAAAATTCTTATGACCATTTACTTCCCGTGTTTTATTATATTTAAAGTAACATCTTCTGTTGTGCATGCTCTGAAGTCCACATATTGACATGCTTTTTTTTTTCCTGTCCACTTTGTAATAATAAATGCTGGTGATTGGTGGATTAAGGCAATGTCCATACTATAACTTTGTGACTGTATTGTCATCACCTAGAATCTCACTGTTCTCATAGATTACAGCGGCTTCGGGCTCTTCCTCAAAGCCTGTCCGATTTTCAGTATCAGAGTCATGATCATATTTAATAGGGTAGAAATCTTCAATTTCACTGTCATCTTCAGCCGCTTCCTGTAAACCTGGGCTCTGTAAAGAGTCACTGTCGCTGTTTGTTCCACAAGAGCTGGATGACAGGTCGTCGTCAGAATCAGAAAACACTTCAGCACCATGAAAAATATAGCGATTTGGGGATAGAAATAAATATTGTGTGCCTGAAAGAACAAATAAAGATGAGAATTAGTAGAACAGTAGGTAGGGAGGTGCGAGTTAAGTGGGTGACACCACATCACTATAACTGATAGACAAGCAAGGATTGGTTGCAATCGAGCCTGGGGTTTTTTCAAGGTGCCACAAAATACATACAGCTACAGGTGTGGAGTATAAATATAAATCTTTCTTTATTTCTTATAACAAGCTCAAAACATATTAAGACACATATAAAGGCCATATCAAATAGTCAATACACAGTAGATAGTAGGTTGCTCATCCCATATCTACTGTGTATTGACTATTTGATATGGCCTTTTCCAGGTGCACAGGTACTGCGGAAGACTGGCGCCCCCGACCGCAGCCGCGGCGCCAGAAGCCTGTGGGGAGCACTGTGACTGGGCGGCCGAGACCCCCAGTCATATGTACCCCCCTGGGGCAAACCCATAGGCCACCCCGCCAGAGCGGGATCGTCGCAGCCGACCCACCGGAGCGGGCCTGCATGCGATCGTCGGTCGTCCCGGGGAGACTCCAAGGATCCGGGACTTCCAGCCTTTCGCCCGGACAACACTTGCTAGAAGATTCCACTGAAAAAGATCAGGAAGAAGCAGGTAAGAATACCCGAAAAAAATTCTTAGCTCCTTACTCCTGACGCTAGGCAAAAAACTGGAGACTTGTCAGCAGGTGGGGGGTTTTGGCCACCGGCAGGGGCCGCCCCTAGGCTGTGATTGGTCTTTAGTTTTGTGCCTAGCGTCCTTCTCCTGCAGGTGGCGCTATTACCCTACAGTACAGGATCTCCGATCTGTTCCCTGTGTCCTTCAATGAACGGGAGAGAAAAATCAATCTTAATTTGGTAGTTGGGTGTTCGACATCTATTTCTTAAAGCAGACCTTTTGATGTCACCAGCCAGGCATGCAACCAGAATAGTGATTACAACTCGCTAGGGTTTAGTGTATACAGGGTTTTAAGATCACGTCTGGTCAGGGTGTAGTGGCTTTAGAGCATTTTGAAAGTGAAAAGTCTGCATGAGATCAGTTTGTGCACTGTTATTTTTATGCCTCCACAGAGCTTGCTGTTAATGCAAACGCAGGGCAAACACAATTCAAAAGCCCTGGTACACTAGCCCTAAATAATGAAACAAACATGGTCAGGCTTTTTGGGGGAAAGCCAAGAAACCAAATCGCTAGTAAATACAGCGTCTCTTCATTAAATGAAAGCGGGCACAAGTTCTGTTTACATATAAAATCCCTCATTGCACTGCAGGAACCCCAAAGCTTGTTTAAGGACTTCAAGCATTAGCATGGTTTTTTGCCATGCTAAGCAATGATGCATGCCGCCCTCTAAGGTTTCCCATATTGCCCAACTCACTTACAGCAATCTGGCAGACTGGGTCCCCCTTCTAAGTAGGTTACAGGTAAGTAGTATTTTCAGGCCTAAAATGTGGAATATAACATGGGTGCAAAAATGGAAAAAAGGGCCTCAGTCATGAAGGGGTTAATTCTCACAGATAGAATCTTAATCTGGTTGTGTATTGAGCACAATCAGATTTAGGACAGCTGTAAATGAAAATCAAACATCAGGGGCAACAATGACCTAGTATAAATATATTATTTACACTTATTTGTCAGCCTCAGGGGTTCCCTGGCAATTCAGGAAACAGTTGTACCTGTAAACAGAGGTATGTAGCAGCACATGTGTGTACTCAATATCAAATAGTAAAGAAAAGTTGATAGTGGTTTTCATTTAAAGCTACCTGAAATTTAAGTGCTACCTCTAATCCTTTACAGCCAAGGAATGTGAGTCTTAGCCTCTACTTGGACTGCAGTTGCAATGGTGTGGCACTTGTGATTAGCTATGAGATCAGCCATATGAAGGCTTGAAAGATTGGTTGAGAGCTGAATTAAGCACACTGGCAATCTTGACTGTTGTCATTCGTTGAAAGGAACCATGAAATTGGTGGCTCTTGTTCCACTTTAAGGACTTTGGGCTTAATTCAAAAAGCTAATATATACCAGGATAAGGAGCCTTGATTTATTTTTAGCTACATCGAATGAAATTTGAAAATGACGGGCCCATGACTGAAAATAAAGACCCTCATCCTTGTGTGTCTTTTAGGTTTTTTGTCTTCAAAGCCTTCAAGGCTGATCACATGACTATACCAACAGTCAACTGAAATGTATGCTTACCATCTAGGCGTTTGCTTATCTGCTCCTTTGCCATTTTGGACAAACTCGTCCTGGACAGATCAATACTGCTCTCATTGTCACACTTTTCCGGCTCTTCGCTATTGCTGGTTGGGGTCTCACTTACAGGTTCTGTAGGCTCTGGTGGTGTAAATACTTCTCTACCATCTATACTGTCTACAGTCATATTTCCTTTACAGCTTTGAGAAAGCTCAGAGTCACTTTCTGATGACAGGCAGTCTTCAAGTGGAGGAGTCAAAGGTAATTCTGGGTGAGCCAGGCCATCTTGGGAGATTAAACCATGTCCAGTGCCCAAAGCCTTAGACTGTGCATCTAGCAGAATGGAAAGCACTTTGTTTGGTCGGGGAGGTTTCTCTGTGATTTCTGTAAGTGTCAAGGAACCGTTACAGAGTTCTGCATACTTTCCATCTAGTCTCTGGCTTAGCTCATTGATTATGACGTCACAGTCTCCAAGAAGTTCAATATCAAAATGAAGATGAGGCAAAGGCTCTCTATTAATCAAAATTTGAGGCACTTCGTGAGGGATGGAGCCTGAAATAAATAAAATGAATTAAAACTCCACAATTCAAGAATCTGTCATTTTTATTGTAAAATATACATTTGGGAGAACAATAAGAAGAGAAAAACCTGTCTGTAAAATTGTAAGACTCAGAAGTTCTTCCAGGTTTCAAATCTTTGCTCGTGTAAACTGCCAGGAACGGCAGAAGCGGTAAGAAAGTGTTGTTTTACAAATCATGTCTGACACAAATTCCCTTTAAAAGCCCCTTTAGGACCACTGTTTAATCTGTCACAGAACAGATCAGATTAGAGAGAGGACAGTGGTAGAACTTCTAAATTATTTATGTAGATGCAATAATAGCCCATTAAAAGAAAAAACATTTTTCGTGTCACTTTTTTCTGCCATTAGAAGCCCTCAAAGTGATAGCTAGCATCAATCAACGCACTTCCACTAAAACCAGGTCATCCGGAATCCACCCCAGCCTGTGAATGGGTAGTGAAATGAGAAGCAGCAGAATGATGAGCCCATCTCGCTGTTACTCTGCTTTCTCTTCTTGGCAACATTCATCTCGTTAGCGCATGAACTGACCGGCTCCTTGGTTCCTCCTCTCATATTCTACACTGTACAGGGACAGCAGGAGGCCAATACCAGGCACTTACACAGCTTGTATTTTGAAAATACATTTAATGATGTATAAAATGATTATAGAGACGCAGTAATTTGTGTCTTTTATATGTCTGGGAACCAGGGCACTAGGGATCGTCAGCTATTGTGGATCAGTCTGGAACAGAAAACAGGCCTAGAACACAGGTCTTAGAGAGCAACTGGATGCAGGTTACAGAAAATGCAGGGAGCCAGGGACAGCATGTCTGCACAAGGAACGTGGGTGTGCCAGAGGCGTAGTGTCTAAAGAGACGCTGGTCTTCTCCAGAGCCTCTGATGGTGAGGATGTTGCGCTGCACGGCAGCTCCCAGGTTGCAACCCACCAACACAACCGTGCAGACACAGCTTTCAGAAGTGCAAGGGGAATCATGCAGTGGTCCAAGACAGTACAGCACTTAGTGGCAAGTAGGACAAGAGACTGAACCCAAGAGGTGCAGGTGCACAAGGAAAGACTTACCGTACTACAGGACACACTAGGGAATAGCACACAGGTAAAATGCATTGTACAGAGCTTCAGAATACACAGGAGAACGCACGCAGCAGACGTGCATGCACAGAGTCAGGATACATAGACAGATACAAGGAACGTGCAACACTGAGGCTCAGGGCACAAGGAATGAGCATTATACAAAAAGGTATGGGCGAAGGGGGCCTTTTAATGCAAGGTCAGCTTTTAAGGGTTAATGTTATCTACAAATATGATTTACAATGAAATCTCAGAAGATCAGTTATTTTCAGAAAGACAACAGAAAGGCAGTGCACTCAAACTGGCATCCTCAAAAAACAATGAAAAGGGATCACATATCACTCCATAAAAGAAAACCTTTTTCACCCATGTGTATTCTAACACTTCATTGTTGATTAATCAGTTGTCACTAAAGCACTTACTTGGTATTAAAGCAACCGGTCTCACTTTCAACGAGGAGCCAATAACAATAAGAAGGTCAACCTCATCTTTGTCATATTTCATTGCCCTGTGGAATTGTTCAGGCAAATTCTCCCCGAAAAAGACAATATCAGGTTTCATAATTGCAAGGGGCTCTTCCTGTGGACATCTAGGACATCGTGGAACAACCTATATATGGGATAAAAAAGTTGACCTGTTAATGTTGTTTTGTGATCAGACAATTTGTGCATTTATATCACTTTACTAACTGCTTAAAAGTTCCAATTAAGAAATTCCAAACTTTTGGGGGGTCAGAAGTTTTTTTTTTATACTAGTGAAGTCCTCATTCTTAATTTTATGACAAATACACTTTAGTTTCTGACACTACCCAATTTACCTACTGCTAGTTCCCATAATCGAAAAACAACTTACTCTAAATGTAAATGGCAAACAAATATATTTTGTACAAAAATACAACTTGCTGGGTTAATATACACTGAGCGGAATTTTATCAAAACTGGAGCAGCTGCGCATGGCAACCAATCAGCTTCTCTCTCTCATATTCAAATCTTACTTGAACAAACTGAAGAGAGAAGCCAATTGGTTGCCATGCACCGCTGCTCCAGATTTTGTCTGCTCCAGTTTTAATAAATTACCCCTACTGTATATGTACGTACGTATGTACGTACGTGACTTAACTCCCGCAGTCATGCAACAGCCCAAGGGCTTAAAGAGGGGCTGATAGGCCCGAGCATCGAGACTAGAAGAGGTTACGTGCTCCACCATACCTGGAACACCGGTCAGGGTTACTGGCTGCAAAGGAGCAAGGAGCTCTGGTAAAGTGAGTGTGTCACGGTGGAACTTTGCAGATCAGCACCGATACCAATACTGGTATCGGTGCATCCGTAGCTCATAGCAAACAATGAGAAGTGATCTTTCATGTTTCGGTCTACTCAAAAGCTGAACTCAACCAAAAGCATGAAGCAAATCACCAATATTAAATCGATGAATATAATCTAAAAATCGAGAACAATTTATACCAAATTGATAAAAGGCAAACACATTACCTGATTAAATATGTCCTCTCTGACAGCTTCACAGTCAACTTTGTGTTTGCATATTAGACAAGAGGCCATTGCAAATGACCCTATGAAGAAAAAAAAACTGCAGTTATAACAAACAAGTCATTTATACACAAGTAATTTACTCACAAGTAATTTACTCGTAATTTATACAAAAAATAAAAAATGTTAAGAAAAAAGTTTAGATGGAATAAATATGTATTGCTGAATTGCTAAACATTGGAATTGACTGCTAAAAATAGAACAAATCTAAAATTTATTGTAAAATAAAAATAAATCTAAGAACACTGTCAGTCAGAGACCCAAAACACAAACAACGAAAGCTAGAACAGAAAAGCTATCAACTGCTGCTCTCCATACAGCTAAAATATATCTAATTTACATGATAGAGGAGTATATTCTGTATACCTTTAAATGAGACCTATTAGGAGAGTAAAATGTTCTTTTCCCAATACTTAGAGCTGGCATATGACACTGCAGGTGTCACACACCGGCTCTATAGACTGAGAGCTGAGCAATCACTAACCATCACTCAGCTCACATTCTTCTCCCTGTAGAAAGCGGTGACAGCCAGTCACTGCTCCCCGCAGGGATTTTCTCCTCTCTTTTCCTCCAGCGCTTATAGGAGGGAAAGACAGGCAAGGGGGTGGGCACAGCTGGCTCTACAGAAGTAGAGCCAGAGGTCATTTAGGCAGCGAGGTGGAGCCCGATAATATTGTATCGGGTGCAGAGCAGCTCTGTGCTGTCAGCAGATAGCAGGCAGTAGTCAGCTAGATGCTGACTTTGGGTACCAAGAGTACATTAGTAAAATGCATTTCTGTGCCCTAAAAGAGAACTAAAACCAAGAAAAGGTTTGGCTCTAGTTTTCTTTTAATAGTACAATGACTCAAGTAACACTTTTTAGGCCAGGAAAGCAATTTCTCTCAGCAGATGCATTTAAAGGTCCCTACATTTTTTAAAGTGTATATACACGTTTACAGTCAAATTAGAGAAAACCCCACTATATGTTTGTTATGTGTTCCCATTCACACAGCATAGCGAAAAATAACAAACAAAAATATTTCTTACCTTTTCAGTTGTTTCTTTGGAGCAGGCCTTTGGGCAGACTGCAAGCTGTCTGGACAATTTAACAGTGAAAATGGATGGGGACAAAGTGGGGAAAGACTCAGTTCCCTCTCATTAACATAAAATGCAGAACACAAGCCCTGAGATCTTTAACTCTTTGTTAGGACAGTGTTCAGATCTAGTTGACAATTGAGATCTTCCAGCACAGTACATTATGGAAAACATTAACCTGAACATTACAGAGAATGGTAAAAATTTAGTTTTGGAGATTGTAGAAAACTGCAAGTAAAAAAGGTACACAACAATATTTTTTTTGTAAGGTATGCTATGTGAATGGGAACATGTAACAAATATAAAGTAGGTGTTATTGTAATTTGGCTGCAAAAGTGGAAATACACTTTATGAAATGGATAGAATATGAACTGCTCACCATGACACTGGATAATTCTTTGAATTCCTGCTTCTTGTTCCAGTGTGTCTATATTCTGAGTATAATTTCTAAGTAATTTCCCCTCTTTATCCAACATAGCAATAAACTTGTGGCAGAGAGATGGCTGAAACTGGCCTGGAAAAATTTCCTAAAAGGAAAAACAAGGGGGGTAAATGATAAAGACTGAAATATAATTTAACAACCATATAAAAACTGTATAAAGTATAATGAGACAAAATAAAAATATACAATTGCTGTTATGGCAGCAGATCCTACCCTAATGTATACCTTGCAGCAATTCTATGTGTCACCTCTGCAGATATTTTACCTACGACCTACACTCACCCAACTACTGGCTGGAAGTAAACGGACAATTAAATAGGCATCAGGCATGGGCAGTGGAAGCTGCAAAAATGCAGAAGCATGATTTGACGTCTTCTCAACCATAGAGCTGTTCTCCATTTTCAGAACATTGATATAGGCTTTTGAGCTGATCCCCTCAGATTATCTCACTTCTTTTTCTTGGGAAAATAGATTATCACATGTCCAGACTCCAGAACAGTGTATTATTGTATAGTGTGGCACAGCTGTATCCAATTCTGCATACCTGGCTTTATATTATAAAGTTCTTATAATATAAAGCCAGGTATGCAGAATTGGATATAGCTGTGCCACACTACAGAGTGTTCATGTTCTTCATAATATTAAGAAACTGACCTAAAATCATGATTTTGTATTGCTTTAGAAAACATTTGACCTGTCCCTTTAAGAAAAAGTATCGGTAATTGGTATCGGCGAGTACCTGGAAAAAAGTATCGGTACTCGTACTCGGCCTTAAAAAAGTGGTATCGGTGCATCCCTAGCAATTATCATAATCAAATGATTACCAACAATATTCAAAGTGCTTATCCACAAACTTGGGGGTGGGGTTGGGGTGGTTGTATACACCTTGGGTATAGAAGGCTTCCCTTAATCTCTTGGTGCTTTCAGCTGCTTCTGATCCCCTGTATCACATCATTTTAATGGGCTGCTTCACCAACCGATAAAGAAGCAGACTAGAGCCAATATTAATGAAAGCCGAAAGATCTTTACATCAGAGAGTTTTGGTGAGCTTACAGGGGGCAAGAGGCAGCTTGCAGATACCGGAAGGTGACCATTATATACAGAACTCTGTGGTAGACAATCTTTTTCCTTTTTAAATAAAATGTAAACAAATGCAACATTACTGAGACAAAGCTTTCACTTTATCAGTCTACAAAAAAACAAAACAATTTCCTTCTCACTCAAGTACAATGCATATGTTCCACAGGAGAGCCTCAATAATAGACAGCTACTTCATGATACATCTCTATGATCTATCCTCTTCCACACAAACCAGAAAGGAACATATAAAATCACACTACAGTCATGTTTTGTCCCATTTTTCTTCCTCCTAACAACTATTACTCTAACTGTAAATCAGAGCTGGAGAAATCCCAGGAGCCAGGTAGGCAATGCTCCATAACAGCTGGTGCCTAACTTTAGACGTTGTCTCTCGTTGTTGTCAATGGAGCTGGCTCTTAAAAAAGTCCTGCTGGCCCCTAGACTGGACAGGCTGGCACCGAATTGCACAATAATTTGTCCACCCTGCTGTAAATGTACCATGTACTTGCAATTTAGAAGACGTCTAAAAACAGTAAAGTGAACCTAGCTGTAGATTACATTTTCTTTGTAATTGCATATATGCTAAGATACAAGTGCAAGGCCTACAGCTATGTGTAATCTCCCACAGAGATCACAGTACTGCCCCCGTCTGTGCCTTCACCTGATCTTTCCCATCTTTTGGCACCTTCTTTGTTTAGGCATCATCCAGGGTCTGCATCTATTTACTGGGCTGAGGCCTGGTTCACACCTAGCGCTTTTTTAACTGCTCAAAAACGCCTTTTAAATGACCAACACAAGAAATCCATGATTTCTTATGGCCCCTGTTTACACCTGAGCAACAAAACACCAAAAGCCCGAAAAGGTACATGAGCTTGTTTGGGCAGTTAACAGCTCGTTTTTGCCCCATAGACTTTAATGGAAAGGGCCAATAACGCACGGCAAGAGTACATTGCACATTTTCTTGTGCGTTCGTCCATTGCCTACAATGTTTCATAATAAAAACACACGGGCGCAATAAACTTAATGGAGTCTATTTTGGAGACTCCCTGTCTCTGTGTCAAGAAGGGGAAAAAGGGGATGGTGCACTTACATTTAAATCCAGGAACTGGACAAAGGGAGGCCTTGATGGAGGATCGAGTGGACCAGTGTGTGTTGTTGCTCCACCATGCTGGTGTACGGAGTATACGGCCAGAAAGTGCCCACCAGGTGTGGATAATGCGGAGCGGAAGGCAGAGGGGGAAGGGAGAGCAAGGACTCGGTCTGGTTCACTTGATCCTCCATGAAGGCCGCCCTTTGTCCAGTTCCCGGATTTAAATGTAAGTGCACCATCCGTTTTTTCCCCCTTCTTGACACAGAGACAGGGGGTCTCCAAAATAGACTCCATCAAGGTTATTGCGCCCTTGTGTGTTTCTATTGTTGTACTGTCTACGGGCATCTCCTCCTGTTTCTTAGGGCTGCATACCATATAGCTCACCCACCACATACATCCCCCACAGCATCCATCCGAGAGCGCTGAATATTGTTCTGTTTTTTTTTACGTTTCATAAGCTGCCAGTCAAAACACACATCTACATATACGCACGTACAAACGTGCATCAAAATATGTACAACGCACAAATAACCGCACATTGAACACGCCCCTACCAACAAACGCGCAAAAACTATGCCGCCTAGGTGTGAGCCCGGCCTAAGATGTTGGCCCATAAATAAGAGTGAATGCTGCTGCCTGTGAATTTCCTGAATGCGTGCACACGGTGTCTCGCACAGATCAACCCTCTGCTGTTGCCTTTGACTTAGTGACTTGCTACAAAATTCCAGTCAGTGGAGGAGAGGAGACTAGGGAAACACCACTTGCGACAATCCAAAGGACCAGTCATGGCTTTTTTGAAATATGCCAGTGTTATTCTATTCTATAGTCAAACATGTCAGGAATGTATTCATACATACTTGTTAAGCAACTTTACTATATTTATTGGGCAAAACCTACCTTTGCGAATTTAAAAAATGGCCTTGGGTCCTTTCTAAAGTATTCAATATCAAACATGGCTTGAGGATTTGGAAGATCAGGGAAATCCACTGCCAGACGTGCATATATCCCATCCCTCGATCGAAAATCTGGGATTCCACAGGAGACAGAAACCTAAAATGTTTGATAAACAAGTAACAAGACAAGTGAAATTCATACCATGGCACATCCTAATGCAACGAAAGAAGCTTGGCAAGTTTAATACTTTTAACATTATCCTTTAAGATTTCAGAAAATCCCACTGGCCATGTTTCTGTACAAATCAAGTGTAGCGAGAGGATGGCTACTACTGTGACAAAACGATCCAAGACCGATCCCCTGAAGTGCGTATCATGTGGCTATTGACAGAAAATAATGCACACAAAATCAGGCTTTCCAGATAACAAGTGAGTTTACCCAACGTGTTAATTTACAATAGAACTGCTTTCTTGGGAATGAACTGGCACATCTGTGGTAAAGCTGCTTCTCACCTGACCCCCACTTATAGATGCTCATACGTTCTCCTTAAAAGGAGAACTATGAGGAGAGTAAAAATCACTCCTCCTCATAGTTCGAGCCGACGTGTGACAATGAAACTGTCACACGTTGGCTCAATAGACTGGGAAGTGAGCGAACATATACCGTCACTCACTCACTTCTCGATCATCTCCCTGCAGAGACTGTCGTCAAGGCTCCCTGCAGGGATCCCCCCTCCCTGATCCTCTAGCTCTGACTGGAGGAACGGATGGGGAAGGGGGCAGATACAGCTGGCTCTGCCTCTAGATAGGCAGAGCCAGCCGTAACTCCCATAGCTGGGTGGATTTCGACAGTAATGTCGGGATCCGTCCCGGCTGTGGCGGTCTCAGTATACTGCGAGCTGTAGCTTGCTATATACTGAGCTTTGGGTCACGGGAGGACGCTAATATATGTCTTCCCGTGACCTTAACAGAACTATGGGGAAAAACACTTACCCCATAGTTCTCTTGTAAGTGTTGGAGTAATGGTTCATAGCCTTTGGTTCCACAGTTTCAAACACAGGTACACAATGAATACTGGCAATGTAAAAGAGGAAATTCTTCCAGCACAATGGCTTACCCCAGCTCCAGTTAACACCATTATTTTCTTGCTCTCTTGCAGGAGTCTGACAGCGTCCTCAATAGTATTAATGTCTTTGCGCTTTTTCCTTTTCGGTGGATCTGACAGTATGTTGATCACAATTTGCCAGAGAGTCATGTCATCCAGATCAGGTGGTGCAACAGAATCAGGAAGCAGATCCGTTAGAATGGTCCTAGGGTCAGTACCCATCATTAGGTGTCGCTGAACAAATGTGTAAGGACCTGGAACACATTAGAATTGGGAATGTATCTCTTTTTATTATATTTCATTATTGAGAAATTGTTTACAGAACACATTAGGTTTGAACACATAGGGCATAGGTCCCAATAGTACAAAAATCTATGTGTTGAAACTTCTCTTTCTTGAAGAGCTCCTGGCACTGTTAGGATCTGAGACTTCTGGGAGTGTTGACTAACGTGTCTCCTGCTGGCCACTGTGGATATCTTCCACAAACCCCGCCATTACAGGACACAGTAGAGACATAGATGTCAGTGGGGGACACACTATTCATCACGCTTGGAAATATTGGCTAGTACTGGTGCACGGGAAATCTTCAAGAGAAATCAGTTTTAATACACTCCGGACAGCTATGTATAAAATTGCTGCATTCTTTTTTTACACCCCTGACAGGGTCGCTTTAAATGTGGCTACTACGGATGCACCGATACCGGTATTCTGGTACAGAGTACAAGTACCGATATTTTTTTTCTGGTACTCGCCGATACCAAATACCGAGTACCGAAAGTCTAATTCAGGAAGCCAGGCGGCGAGTAATGACTCGCCACTTGGCTTCCTGATTAGCCGTGAAGCGTGTAAAGACTCACGGAAGCCGTCCCGAAAGCATGGAGCTGATTTGCTGGCCAATCATGGAAGCCGGGCGCCGTGTCATTACACGCTGCCCGGCATCCTGATTGGCCGGGAAGTTGACGCCATGCTCTCTCTGAACAAGTGACGAGGGAGCATGGAGCCAGCTTCCCGGCCAATCAGGAAGCCGCGCAGAGAGTAATGTCGCGCTGCCCAGCTTCCTGATACAGGAAGTCTCGGGCTAGGCATCGGTGCATTTGGGCGAGTACAAGTACTCGCCCAAATACTCGGTATCTGCACCGATATCGATACTAGTATCGGTGCATCCCTAGTGGCTACTATGGGTTAAAGCATTTTGCCCTGTCAAAACCAGGCCAAAACCTTTTTGGAAAAAATTGCCAATGTATACCTATGCAAGGCTTGGGAGTCCAGTCACTCGAGCTGGCATGGGAAGTTCGATCTTCGTCATCACTGTCACATGAATGAAAGCCGCCAACAAGATCATCATCTAGATGGAGATCTTCTGGAAAGTAAAGTAAGCACATTATTAACAAAAAATTTCAATGTCTTCTTACAAAATATGCAAAATCCAATCAGTGACAACTGTCTAGGAAAGGATTCCCCTTGACTTCCTGCTGCGTGTCCAGGACAGGAAATCTCCCCAATGGATCCCACGGCAAAAAGCTCAACTCCAAGCAGCATTATCTTCACAGTTTTCAAGCAAGCAAACAATCTCCTTTGGAGGAGGGACCTAGCTGTCGCGCAGACAAGCTTCTAAGTCCTGCAAGTAATTTAGTTAACATGGCAGAGGAAGTCCAGCTCCTGTTGTATTTCCTGGTCACTCCGACTGGAAGTGCTGCAGGTCTCATAGACCCCAGGGCTACGGTAACACCTCTCCTCCTAACCATTCACAAAACAGAACCTGGGGCTGTGTGTTTGAGTGATCAGGAAGAGAGGGGGGCGGAGATGGGACCTTGACGCTGGGGTCTAGCACTTGTGGCCAGGACATACCGCAGGAGCCAGACTTCATCCGCTGTATGAACAAAACGAAGTTTGTCTGCATGACAGCCAGGTCCTCCCGAGGAACGAGAACATTTGCTTGCTTTAAAGTGTCACTAAAAGCAATAGAGAAAAATACATACACCATAATCTGATATCAGTGCTGTACCTTATATTAGCAACCTCTGTCTGCACTTCCCAAGATCAGGCTTTATAGTCTTCTCAGCTTTCTTTATGAGGGTGGCTCCGTTCTGTTTACGTGGCCCCTCTGTATGTGTGAATGTAGCCTCCCTCCTAAGACGCACTACCTTCTTTACATAGCCGACGCTGCCACTGGAAAAAACTGCCCAATCAAGACAACGCCACCCACAGGCTGATGAATGAAATTAAATCGAACCGCAGCCAGGTGCAATGTGTCATGGGAATTGTAGTTTACAGAGAGCAGCGCAGGTAACTGCAATATACGTGCACTGGGACAGGAAGTGAGGGGGAAGAAAGCGTACATGGGCGACACGCAGGAAAACAAAATATTAAAGTGGGGATGTTAAGAGTCAGATTTGCTTTTTTTGATTGGAGGGTTTAGTGACACTGTGAAGGTAATCTTGCGTTTGGGCTTTAAACCCTAGGGGTTGAAAACAAAAAGGTTTTGGGGCAAGATATTCCTGAACACATCTAAAGACACATCCTTTAATTGCAGCAACCCCAATGAGCCATAATAAAACATCATCTCTATACACTGGAGGAATGAGTAAAGAGTTTCTAATGGGGTGTGCATTGATTGACAGGTATCACAGAGCAGCGCGCAGCCACCCGTGGAGGAATTGTGTCCCCAGCACCCTCCCGTACAGGAGTGCTCAGCGGCCGCGCACTGGTCAGAGAAGACATAAATGAGCCCCACCTCCATACTCGACTGCCTGCTCCGCCAGGTCTCCATTAATCAGCTCCTGCTCGGCCTGCATTGCTGGGTGCCGCTGTTCCCCTAACAGGCCCGAAAGGGGCGAGCTATCATTGTGCGCTCTGCCTACTCCCTCCGCAGAGGCCTCCCCCTCTTCCGGGACACCCGGCTCCGCCGACGCTCCCGCTCTCCCTTCTTTCTCGCCGTACAGCGGCTGCCCGCCGTGGGCGGAGTCTATCCGCGGCTTTTTAGCGGCCGGCTCGCCGTTTTCTTTCGGCAAAGCGAAGAGATCGCCGGTATGATTCAATCCCAGCCGATCCGCGTCCGCCATTTTCCCACAGCCTGAAGTAGGAGCCGCCCATCGAGCGGTGAGGAGGGGGAGCTTGGCCGCCCACGTGACACGGCTTTCGCCAATCGCGGGTGAGCCGCGTGACGTAAACAATAACAAACCCCGTCACGTGGAACAGGTAGAGCAGTCGCTGTGATGGTGGAGGGCGGAGGTGTCAGTGCGGGACTGGGCGCTGAACCGGTCATGCTGCTAATGTGACATTTCCTATAAAGAGGGGAGGGCTGACCTCGTCTCTCAGGTTGTTATTTCTGTCAGTGGCTTCTTGTACCGATGACAGTTCTTGTCTCGGTGTCACAAGCATAGGAGGTGAAAGCAGTCTTCCCCTGAGCAGAGACAGCAATAACAATCGGAAAGTTCAAACTTTTCCACGAAGTTTTTTTAAAATGTTGCTATATGTGTCTGTATAGAAGAGGTGAAGACATTGAGAGTAATACTCAACATCACCCTACCTAGGACAAATTACCCTATATATACAAATGATCACGGTATGGTAATGAGAAAAATACTAGTTCATGGAGTTCTCCGGGCACTGCTCCCTGCCATCTTGAAATATCTCACAGGTGAAGATGTGATGCAGGTCTCTGCCAGGTATTTGGGCCCTTGCAGAAACCTGCAGCATGTCTGCACATGTGATGACCTGACATGTGCATACATGATGAGAAAGGTCTCTGCTGCGTCCCAAATACTTGGAAGGGACCTGTGGCATGCCTGCACATGTGCATGCCCCTGGTTTCAGGTATTGGGGACCATGCATAGACCTACTTCATGTCTGCGCGAGCACAGACATGCCCTGGGTCTCTGCCAGGTGTCAAATAGCAGGCAGAGATGTGCAGCACATCTGGGCATGCATGGGATTTCGAGTTAAACACTGGCTCCTAGTACATCCCAGGAAGCAGTGGTTATGTCATCCTCACCTAGATGCGCAAGCAGGACGTTTTTACAGACTTTCCCCCAAAAAATGAAATGATTTGCTATTGTGTAAGAGGTTAGGGAGGCATGCGAAAAATGCTCTATTAATGGGTGAAGGAAAGTGGAGCTTGCTCCTTCGCATGAAAGTTATTCTCCATATGCCCCTTACTTTTATCATTTGATTATTGAGCATAAACATACAAGTCCACTGAATCACGCATTGTCTTCTCACCTGCTGCTCTTCAGTTCTGGTCCCCCGTCACCATCTTTGTTGTTAAGTCATCTGGAGACAGTTGCCTCTCCCCGGTTCTTGCACCCAGTCCCTTTATGAAGTGGTGCACATGTGCACTTATGGCTGCAAAATAAGGAAATGTTGGCAACGTTTGAGTTCTGAGATACCACAGGATTTTGTGGACAATGAAAAATGTGATGTTGGGCTTTAAAATGTAACAGAGGTTCAATGAGGGCGGTTCACAGTAAGCATAATCTTTGCCTAAGAATCAGCATTACTGAACTATATAACAAAAAAAAATCAATTAACAAACTGTGTTTGATAAGTGATAGTTGGAGATAAGAGTTCTGCTTTAGCTGAAAGGTCAATTTAAATAAAACTGTGTGTCGAATTGCCAATTGCAAGGTCTGCTTATTAAATTCTCGTCCCCCTTCCCCGCTAGGTCAGAATGCAGAAATGCACTTTTGTTGGGAATTTGTTGAAAACTATACTTACCTTCTGCCCACAGATCCTAAGCAGTGACATCATCATCATTCTGCCAAAAACCTGGAAATGCTGAGGAACCCAGATGTCACAAGAAGAAGCTCCTGCACTGTGCTCGACTGTCTTCTTGAGGGATTTGGGATACCCAGAGTTCCCAGGATCTCAAAAGAAGAATTGGAACACCACCCTCTGCTGTGCGAAATGTGAGTGAAAGGTAAGCAAAGATTTTGTATTATATTTTGCATTTGAACATACGCAGAGCTGGTAAGGATGAGCCGTTTGCCCTGGCTTCAGTGAAGCATGATACATTTGACGATTTGGACAGGTAAGTATGTTTTTAAACTTTTGTCTACAGTTGTTTTTTAAGCAGATTGTGGCATGTTGATATGGGGTGGTGGGCTAGTGCTTAATAAGCAGACCACGTTTTTTAAATGCAAGGTCTGATTTAATGAGGACACAGGCAGCAATGACAGCACAAGGATCTAACCTTTCCCCAATCTGTTCTAAACTAAAATAAGTTTTGTCAGGAGTTCTACTTTAATTATTGGTTATTCTCCCCTGCTTAGAACAAACATAGACTTTTCACATTTCCATGGACAGCTTGCCTCGCAGGATTAAGGGTTGATGTAGATAGGAGTTGTTGACTATGCATTTGCATGCAGTGTAAAAGCTGCATATATAATCTGCAATGCAAACACATCTCAATGGGACCTGCTGTGTTCAAGGAAATACAAACCGAAGCAGATCAAACAGCCTCAGAACTGTCACACTGCGCCACTGAAGTAAATGGGAATCTGCTGACCTGCATTAAATGTGTACTTCAGTTGCAGGAAAGCACCTAGTCTACATAAGCCCTTAACTAAACTGTTAAATTCACTAAGATATAACTTTGCCAGATATTTGCCATAATAATTGGTATTTTCAGCTCTCATTGTCTGTCTGCTTACAATAATGGCTGCTATAGCAAATATGATGCTTTTAGCTTATTAAATTGAGCGTTGTACCTTCCAGTTTATAGAGATTGTGTACACAGGTATTTCATCATATTTGCATTTCTGCCCATAGAAGTAATAGGGAATGCAAAGCAGCTTGATGCAGCTCTGAACCTATGAAGGATCTTAGAAGCACCTTCAATTGATATCAATACAGCTGAAGTGTGATCCCTTTAGAGCACATTCACATTGCCGTTCCTGGACGGACACCGTCTCTAGCAACATACTTCTGCGGCTGGTACGGTCAGGTGTTTGCATTAGGCTGTGGGCAGGAAGTCTGTGGAAATCAATGGCAGGCTGACATTGTTCGCATGTAATCACTCGAGGGAGCTAGGAACAGATGAGTGGATCTGTATACAGACTGTTTGTGCCCAGGGCCACTTATCTGTCCCTATCCACAGGTATTTATCGCCTTGTGAGAATACATGCTGATAGCCATAGAGCCTTTCAATCTGTCATTGATTTGTACAGACTGAGCAAACGCAACTGACTGTAAACAGCTTCCCATACCCATTGCGAAATACGCTAATCTAGATGGTCTACAGCCAGGAACGACCTCGTGAATGCACTTGTCTGTTCCCTCTGGAAGGTTTGATGGTACCAAAAGGGTCAGGGCACATCTTAGGGCCTATGTGCTTAAAGGAAACCTTATGAAAAATAAGAATCCACCACCCCAGGCATATTTATAAAGTAGTGAATGTGGCTTTCACCACAAACATAGTAAAGATTGTCACTAATTCGTCCGAATTTCGATTCGGAACGAAACGAATCGCACATGTCTAACCAGCACACCAAAAGGTTTTGAAGCAAGAAGTCCTTTAATGACAAAATGCCATTCAGTACTGAATGGCAGTGTACTGAATGGCATTTTGTCATTAAAGGACTTCTTGCTTCAAAACCTTTTGGTGTGCTGGTGACAATCTTTACTATATTTGCATTATTCACTGTGCCGTCCGTGGTCGCTGCGAGCACCCACCTGCTTTGCAGGTTTTCGACTATTCCGGTAAGGAGTGCAGCTGGTTTTCTACTACATGTACTATTTCACCACAAACATTCACTGGTGGTGAAGCAATCACTAATTTAAAGCATGTGCACCAGGAAGATTCACCTGTAGTTAATGTTTGGTGAATGTCAGCTGCTTTATAAATATGCCCCCTAGTGTTTACCTGAAAGTGTTTTGGATATGACATTTTTTGATGTTTGCTCTTCCATATCTATGTTATTAAATGTAGGGATTTGCTAATTAGTCAGTACAATGACTCTGTCTACCTTCTTGAAGCCCACACTCAGGTGAGTCTGCAGGGAGCAGTTCTGGAAAATTGCAGACAGAGCTGTTTTTGTTTAGTTTAAAATGGCAGATGTACTAAATTATGAATAATAAAACAACTGAAAGTGGAGTTTGGGTTGTAACAACTGTTGAGTTTAGATATCAGCCACAAAGAAAGTGCATTGGTTTTAGTGAATTTGCCGATATATTAAATTGCATCGTGAGAAAGATCAATAAAGTACAGCCATGGGATTGCTCTGCAAAGCAGGAGTCAGGGCCAAAAGTACATATGGACCTGGTGATCCTGCCAGTAACAAACTTCCTGTCCTACGGTGACAACTCTTACTCACAGTACTCTTATCTATGGAGGAGCAGTATCATCACGCTAGGAAAGCAAGTGTGCTAGGACTACAAAACACTTCCTCTTCTCATCATCTGCATAACATGGAGAGGAGTTTTCTGTGGTGCACAGAAGAGACCTGGAAAGGCTGATAGCATTGTGTGAATTGTGTGATATTTCAGTTCAGTACACAGGAAGTTACAAGGACACTGTATTTCTGGCTGGATAACAGATCAATTACTACATTTAAGGAATGTTAAGCTGCATTATATCACATCTGTGGTTCTTGGGTTTAGATATGCTTTAGGCATGTAATGAGCAACTATTGGAGAAGGCAGGAGAAGTGAACAATCTAGGACAAAATAGCTGATTTGGGAATTTTTTCAATTCAGTTCACTTTCCAAATCAGCTATGTTGTCCTAGATTGTTCACTTCTCCTGTCTTCTCCAAACTCTTCACCCTTTTGTGAATAACCCCCTATGTCTTCCCTCATGTACATATATGATTACAGTCTATACTTAGAAATATATATAGTGTGTGTGCGTATACTGTATATATGTTAAACTTTGTCTATTGAGCTCAAACATTTTTTTTACAGTACAGAGTTTATAAAGCAAAGATTTACAGGAGAGTTTATCATCAATAAACAATAATAAAACACAAACAACAAAACATTGTCTCGTATGTCTCCTTTGTTACATTCAAATAGAGTATGCTGTAGAAGAGTTTCATGGATAAGGCCAGAAATCATCATCAAAATACCAAATATGCATACCACAAGGTATAGGACAGGGTAACAGGGAGGATATATTATCTAGTATCTGTTTCAAATAAGAGGGAATTACTGGGC